AGGAGAAGGTAAACACTAAAACCCCAAAACCCCAAAACCCCAAAACCCCATAAAATACAAATTTAATGGCTGATTGAATAGCTTAATATTGAATAATAATTTGGTATAATTAATTAAAGGAACAAAAAGGTCTAGAAATGTTTTATGACTTTGCACAGTTATTGTGGCTGTATTGCTCTATTCTATCTTCAGCAATTAAGCATTAGCCAAAACACAATCATATAAATATAATCGCTATCAGTGTACCAAATCTTTCAACTGGAACATAAAATCCTTTTTGGAATACTGAAAAAGATTAGTTACATCTTGCTTTCAAAGAATAGGATACTACTTTAAACTTAAGATAGGAATTTGACCCAGAAATGATTGTAGTTTAAAATTTTGCCAGAGAAAATCTAGTGATCTATTACGATTAAAAAGTCTATACTTAAAACTATATTGTAGACAGATTTGAAAAGATATTCGAAAAATTCAAAGACAAAGATACATCATTTAGATTATACTTTGGTAAGCCTAAAAATGGGGTGAGTTTTAAGCAGCTCATTGAATCATATTGGTCTGTTAAGCCTAAAGATATCACATTTAGTGGCTCCACTTATTCTATGAATGAATTTTATACAGAATTACTGATTGAAAGTTTCCTTAAATGGAGGCAATAAAATTCTACTCTTTAACATTATAAGCAGACTAGTTAATTCTTGAAAGAATTTAAAAATGAATATCTAGAGGAGACTTTTCCTCCAAAATTCACTGACTATTTCATTTACTTATACTCTGACGATGACAAAAAATCAGAGTTGCATCACAAATTCTTTAGCCAACTCTCAGAGAGAATGCAAGACTCAGATATAGTGATTGGTCGCTGTGATTTAACTTCTTCAATATTTTGGGGTATCTGGAGATATGGATTGCCTTATGTAAGATTCTATGGAAGCAAATTTGAGGGAAATTTCTAATATGTATATGATGGCTTAGATTTTAAGACATATAATGAATATATTAAAAATAACTCTCCTAGATTTGGAAAAAAGCTTGATGTTAAGAAAGATCCTAGAGTTTAGGGTGATAATCCGAGAAAATACTATTGGAAAAGACATTGTGAGAATAGAGATAGAAATCCGAAGTTGTTAATGGATTGGTTCCTTTATGAAATAGTCGATTATGATGAGGTTGTGGAACAATATCTTTAAGAGAAAAAATATCAATAGCTTCCTGTTTACACAATTACTACTCTTGGCCAATATAAGGGCAAATAATATGACTAACCATACTTTATTCCTTACTATAGAAATATTGGAAAGAAACTCAAAGTAGTAATGTTAGGGTAGCCGTAATATAAAGAAAATTCTAGACTAAACACTAGATTCTTGATGAGAGAAGAATTTATGGCGATGGGTATCTCTTCATTTAGAAGTTTCCCAGTATATAACAAATGGGAATTTGAGACAGATGGCACAATAGCCTCACAAGATAGAGACTATAATGAACTGACTAAACTCTGGACTGGTTGGTTCCACAATTCTAGAAACCCAGCAAGAGATCTAGCTCACATTAAAACTCCAAGGCTACTTTTTGCTCATTCTGATCTAATGTTTGTGGAAACAATGGACAAATTCCCAAATGGAATAGAAACTGGTAAAAAAGATGGCTATGACGTGGTTATGTCAATATTAGGAAATTCAAGTTGGCATGAGGACATAAAAAATTGGACCTTAGCCGTGTAATGCTATGAGAAATTAGCTGAAACAGGAAAGTACAAACTTTTACTAATCGGTAGAGAACTCCCGCCTAGTTTAGTCGGAAAAGTTGATAGAATTGCATAATTGCCACAAGAAAAATTTTTCTCTACATTGGCTAAAGCCTAAATTCTCCTAGTGCCTAGTATCTCAGACGCTTCTCCAAGAGTTATTACTTAGGCTCTGACAATGAATGCAGGAATTATAGTAAACTAACATATTGTAGGGGGATGGAAATATGTGAATGAGCAAACTGGAGCATTTGTTGACGATTTTAATGACATTGTAAGACTTGTTGAAGATGTCAAAAGACGTAGAGCTGAAGGAATCTTGTAGCCAAGGAAATGGTTTGCTGAATTTTCTACTTACCAGTATTAGAGATTCCATATTATGGTGAAACTAATGTGGCATAGGTTTAATTTTGACACAGACATCAATGGATTTGAAACTGATGAAGAGAGATATATATGTCTTGCCTGCTAATGAATAAATTAAACTTGATTTTTTAATCTACTATTCATCTCCAAATTTCATTAATTTGGGGTTTTGGGGTTTTGGGGTTTTGGGG